ACACAAGAATCAGAGGTTTAACAGTGTGTGGCTCCCTCTAGTGGATGTTGTGGAGTATTCTGTTGTCTTTGCTCCAAAGCTTTTTGTACAGAGTTTTGCTGTTTCCTGTCACTGTGGGCCTCACAGCACAGTAGTACACAGCAGAGTCAGACACTGCAGCAGAGGAGATCTGAAGATCCAGACGTTTTTTTCCAGACAGTTTTGTGGAGAATCTTGCAGCTGATTTCAGAAACTCTGACGGTCTTGAATTGTTCGTCCCTGATATGAGGATCAGGAACTCTGGAGGTTTTCCTGGATATTGTCGATACCAGAAAAAGTAATCATTAATTATAATATCTCTGGATAATCTGTAGGACAGAGTGAGAGTGTTTCCTTCTACAGTGGACTCTTCATCCTTGACTGCAGTGAGTTGATCACAGCTGACACCTAAAGGAAGAGATAAATGTTATTAAAGACGATGTTAAACTGTGAGCGCCTGTTCCAGTGATTTCTAGCAAACGGATCCTTTAAAGACATTTCTTCTTCCTGCTTTAACCGACCTGTTAGTGTGATCACAAACAAAGGAAACATGAGCCAGTAATGCAGTGACAGCATCTTCCACACACTATCTGTTCTGTATGCTTCACATATTGAATGTATCTGACAGTGGGAGTCCTTTTCTGCTCTGTGACAGTGTTGCTCCTCCTTCAGCCTCTTCCTCCTCCTTCAGCCTCTTCCTCCTCTCATATCTCTGCATGTTACAAACACCAAAACCAAACCTCAATACATGTTACAACAGGAGGTGCAGCTGTCTCTGCAGCTCCCGTGTTCCTTGTGTCACGTCTAATCAAGTTATGTTTTCATGTCTGGTTTTTTCCAGTTCCAGACTCAAGTCTTCGTCTCTGTCTGTGTCTCATCTCCTGTTTTATTTTGACAGTTTGTCTTGTGTGCAGAGTGTTCACTTTCACTTCCTCTCGGTTTTGTTGTTGCAGAGAAAGGAGGAATAATCAGGGTGCCTGAGGAAGGGAGGAAATGTGCACTGGTACTCATTTGCAATGACAGACTGATGTGCAGAGCTGTAGGACCACAGAGGCATAACACCATGAAGATATAGGAAAGAGCTGCTGAAGCTACGTTAAGAATGATCAGTGAGCAGCAGAGTGGCTTCATCCATGATGTTTGCTTTGAGAGTGTTGATCAGATGATTGGCTGCTGAGAGAGGAGCTGTGGTACTGAATGAGGGAGTGAGGAGTGGCAGAGAAGTCTGTGAGGGTGAACATGCAAAGAGCAGAGGTAGTGAAGGTGGCTGAGTTTAAATACCTGGGATCAACCATGCAAACAGACAGTTCATAAGAGAGAGGAGTGGGTGGAGAGTGTCAGGGGTGATCTGTGACAAAAGGACAGCAGCAATAGTGAAAGAAGTGAAAGGGCATGTTTAGAGGTGGCAGTGAGACCTGCTGGGATGGATGTTTGGAGACGGTGGCTCTGACACAAAGACATGAGACCAAGCTGAAGATGATCACATGTTCAGCGAGCAGCATGGATCAGAAATGAGTCCATCAGAGAGGAGAGGCTGAGAGGGTTTGGACACGTGCAGAGGAGGGAGGGGGGATATATCAGACAAAGGAGGATGAAGATGGAGAGGAGGGAAAGAGGAAGACCTCAGAGGAGGTTCATGGGTGTAGTGAAGGAGGACATGCAGAGGTCTGGTGTGACAGAAGAGGATGCTGGGATAGGAGGCTGATGATCATCTATGTGACTCCTAAAGGGAGCAAGCAGCAGAAGAAGTTCATCATATCATGAAAAGATTGAGAGAATCTACAGAAACCTGTACAGCAGACTGACTGTTGGAGATCTTCAGGTTTAGAACAACTTTAAAATGTCTGTAGTTTTATGGTTTAAGAGATTTTTGTTGTTTAATCAAAATGTATTTAAGCTGATGGACATTCCTAGCTGGGTTAATGGTGTCAGTTTAAAAAAATAACCCTTTGCTTTTATTCACTTATTCTGTGTATCCTGTCTGTCTGTGGGCATTTATATATAATATGAATTATTTTATTATTGACAAATAATTAAATCATATCACCAACAGATGCTATTGTAAAGTCAGCTGAGAGAGGCGGAAAGAAAAGTTAACTGCCCTCCTCCGCCGGAAATTTACTGCGCGACACCAGGCGGAAGTAAACTAGGAAAAAGCGGAAGTAGCGTTAGCTTTTCTTCCGAGCAGAGAGTGTGTTGTGTGAGCTGAGTGTGTGAGCTGCGGCAGCAACGATGCCTTCAGCTCAGTATCTGAGAGAGTTTATCAACGAGCGACTAACTGCTGCTGCTGAACAAATATTCTTGGAGTTTGAAAAAACGATCGTCCAGTACGAGAAAAAGATCGACCGTCAGCGCAGACTGCTGGATATCACCTGGAAACCCCAAATCAAGCTGCACAGGACAGGTGAGTGTCCCTCTGAGGGAGCATCCTGATCACAGCTCTGCGGGACGTTTCTGATTGTGAGGACTTTTTGGAGATGTGAGCTAACAAAGAGCAAACAGAGGACAGGACTGCGCTGCGCTGCATGCAAACAGCAGCTGGTGGATTTGAGCTTTTCTCTGACCTGGATCACTCAATCAGTTCCTTTATGTTTGCTGTCAAAGTTGGAAAACATCAAAAGTCGAGCTTCAGAGCACATTATTTATTCCAGATGGAGTTTATACATATAAATATAACGTTTATATAAATGTATGTTTCCTGTTGCACTTGTGAAAGTTGCAAACAAATGTTGGAAACATGAAGTCGCTGTGCAATAATAAAATATCTAATGTGACTGATCTGCAGGCTGTTGCTCGTCCTCAGCGCTGTGATCTGCTGCTGTGCTGAGGACTGTTTGAAACCAGTTCCACTTTATCTTCATCTAAACACACCTGTTCTGTCTGTGTGTGAATCAGCAGCTGTTTGTGGAGCTGGAGGGGTTTGTGTAGCTGTACCAGGCCCTATCCTGGAGCCGGGCCTGGAGTGAGTGTCTGGGGGCCACAGCCCATAAAAAGCTGCACGAGGGGCTTTAGGGGTTCAGTTCTTTGTGCCTCGAGCAGTTTCCTCTCTGACCAGTCTGGCCACAGAGGTGAGGAAAGCCACTTCTCTGGTGGACGAGCGATACCAGCAGGATGTAGTCGGGCTTGCCAAAACGCACAGCTCGTGTTATAAAACGAAGCTGCTGGAGACGGGCTGCACTCTGGCCTGGATTTGCCTTCTGTGGCACTCGTATCCCCTCTGTGGGTGTTTCCACAGGACAAAGTGAGGAATCAGAGGTGCTCCTGCAGGAGGACGGGTTGGACTCCACCCTGGGCCGTTTGCTGTCTGGGGTGCTCCCGCTCCCTCCCCCTTTCCTGTCTGCTCTGCTGCCCTAATCTGTAAAGTGAATCCAGGCCTCGTACTGCTGTAACTTTTCATGCTGGAGAACGGTTCGACGTCTCATTCAGCTTCCACAGCTTCAGATGGATTTTCACTCATATTTACTTTTTGTGAATTCATCATTTTGTGCAGGGCATCAGACACTCGGAGTAAAACATCGATTCATCATTTCTGCACAGATCACTGACCTTTGTTTCCATATTGAACCCAGAATCATTCAGGCTCCGTGATTAGAGGTTTGGAGTATGACAGTTGCATGTAGTGTAGCATCGTCTTCTCATACAGCAGTGACCTGTGTGTGATGTGATCCAGTGTATGACAGATAAATATATGCTAGACACACTTATGCATGGAGAGTGTGGGAGCTTACACAGCTTATCTGACATCTTTAACAGAAAAGTGCTTCATTTTATTCTAGTTTTTGCTCTTATACACACTTATGGCTGCAGTGAATATTTACTCAGTTTTCTCTTTTTTATCGCTTCAATTTTAGTTTTCTGTCCTCCAGACGTCCCACAGCAGCAGGTCTGTGAGGAGGAGGAGGAGGTTCTCCTTGAGCAACAGCTCTGGAACCAGGAGAGGAGCTCCAGTGTGGAGCAGGAGGAACCAGAACCTCCACAGATTAAAGAGGAAGAGGAGGAACTGTGCAGCAGTCAGCAGGGAGAGCAGCTGGGACTGAAGGAGGAGACGGATACCTTCATGGTGACTGCTGCTGAGGAAGGAGAGCACAGACCAAACATGGAGCAGCTCCTCTGTCACAGCTCTGCTGTAGATCATGGAGAAAGCAGGAACGTTGATTCAACTAGAAAAAAAGTGTTACACAGTGTGACACATCTTAGGAACAAAAGTCACAGTAACGGTGTAGACCCCCACATGTCAGAGATCCAGTGCAACACTGACACAGTGAAAAAGCTCGAAACATGTGATGTTTGTGGCAAAGCCTTTAAGAGAAGGTCCCGAATGAAGGACCACTACAGGACCCACACAGGTGAGAAGCCTCATTCTTGCAAAACGTGTGGAAAAAGCTTCACTCAGAGGAGCGCTTTGACTGTCCACATGAGAATCCACACAGGCGAGAGGCCGTATCCCTGTAAGACCTGCGGGAAAATGTTCACGTACAGTAGCATTTTGTTGGCACACATAAGAACTCATACCGGTGAGAAGCCGTACCACTGTAAAATATGTGGGAAAGTGTTCACGTACAGCAGCCATTTGTGGCGCCACATGAAAAGTCACCCAGGTGAGAAGACGTAGTTTTCAAATTTTGTTAAAGGAAACTGTGAAAGTCAGGAAATATTAAGTGTTTGCTGTGTACGACTGGATCACTGGTAACTACTGCTGAATCAGAGTGAGTGTATGAGAGTAGATTTTTATGTGTAGCAGCACAGGAGAAAGAAGTAATGCTTGTGTCAAACACATTGATGGTCCTCACAGAGCAGTTTTGAAAGGAGCCCAAATGAAGAGTTTTCACTCGTACTTTGTGGGGTTGGCCTGCAGGGGGTGCTCATGAGAAGGCAGCAGGGGAGGACTCAGCATCTGGATTGATGTTTTTCTAACTAGTCTTGTACTGTTGTGTAGTTAGTGAAGTTAATCACACCAGTATAATGTGAAGGCTGGGTTGCCATGGTAACACCAGGATACTTCACAGATTTCGTATGGACTTTCCCAGGGTGCATCAGGAGCTTTTTAATGAAAAGGTTGGATTTTAAGTTCTGAACAATACCTGAAGAGTTAAATAAAAATAAAGCCGGCCTTGGACTGAAGGAACGAACCCTGATCCATGTTTGTTGGATGAGCTGAGTGGGCTTTATCCACGACTACTCCATCACGCTGGGTCAGGACTGGATCGACAGCATGTTCAGCGTCTTCGTCTGAAACTGGCTTATCATCAGATTTTAAGAGCTTGAATGAAAATCACTGATGACTGGAGAATAGGGATGGGTACCGGTATCGGATAAAACCTAAACGATAGCCACCCCTACTGGAGAATGATAAAGTTTAAGGAGCTGAAGGATCCGGACTGATGTGTGATTATCGTTCACCTAAACGAGGGAAATGTTTTGCCTAAACCAAACTGCAGATTCAAGAACTGCTTGGAAACATGTTTCAGACTGAAAGCAGCTTCAGACTTCATGAAGAAGCTCAGAGTTTATTACATGAGATGTTTCTGAAGCCGCAGTTCAAACAGCTGAACTTTTTTCTGCTGGATGAACAGCTGTGAACTTTTACAACAGCTGGATGTTTGTGTTTCTGTGTCAGTGACGGAGAGACGGAGGGCTGGACGTGGTGGGTGTCAGTGAGTCTGAATTAGTGTCACCAGTGGGAATGAGTCTCTCTGTTAATTGTTTTCTGTGTGTGTGTGTGTGTGTGTGTGTGTGTGTGTGTGTGTGTGTGTGTGTGTGGGGGCGGTTTGGCCCGCTCGTATCATCCGTCTGTATCACATCAGCATCACACTGTCTAAGATGTAATGCTGCTATATTTAATATCTGAAGTGTTTTGCTGCAGAATCCTTTCATATTTGAACAAAACATACAAATACTTTGTTAACCTCCTTTAATGGCAATAAAATAGTTAAAGAAATAAAATTCCTGCATGAATTACTGTCGATGGAGGCCTGATTGGGCTCCTGGTCGTCACTGTTGGGTTTTCTTCCACACAGCTGACTCCTGCTGAACGCTGCTGTGCTCTCATTTCATGTCTCGTTCTCTCTGAATGCTGGATTTCATCTTTTAAAATGTGCCTCAGGCTTTTGTCACACTCACATGTTGAAGTTTCTGCCCAGCTCGAGTCTTTTCTTATTTAAAGCACATTATTTAATGTACCATGAGAAAACTGAAGATGTACAGCATGGACATATGAAAGTCTCTGTGTAAATAAAGTTTTTACAACGTTTTCTGATGGCTGATTATTTAAAATTATGGATTCATGTATTTAATGTTATCGATTTTTCACTTCCTGTATGAATATGGACAAAATTACAATATAAACCAAGGAAAAATGTGGTGCCAGCTGCAGGCTGATGTGTTATGACAGTCAAGGTTCAAAACTTTCTAAAGTTCTTTCTTGTGTTTGCTGTGAGGACATGAAGCTGCTCACTGGAAACTCTCCCTGCTGCTGCAGAAACATGTGAGGAGTCCTCAGTGTTTAGATCAGAGGGAGTCTGGACTCTTGTGGTGGTGGAGCAGGTCTGAAGAACCATGCTGAACATCTGGATGGATGTGATGTGGAGCAGGACTGCTGATGACCTCAGTGGAAGGACCCACAGGTCCTGATGAAAAGGTGGAGGAGGGCTGCATCCATCTGACACTGAGAGGGGAAACACTTAAACATGAGAGCAGGACAATGATGAAGGAGAGCATCATCATCTGATGTGATGAGTTCAAAGAGAATAAATGGAACAAGCATGAGATGGTCTTCCTGGTTGGACTTGTAGCTTCATGTGAGAGATTTTACCTTAAAGAGATAAACCTCTGTTACTCTGTTTATTTTGCTTCTGCTGCATTTCTGCATGTCCTCATCCACTAAATATAAAATAGTGTAAATGAGCAGCTTTTGATGTTTGACAGTTTTTATTGTGTCTGAACGTTCCTGCAGTTGGTTTGTGGTTGATGTGGATTTGCTGCTCATGTGAATCCTCCCACAGTGTTTCATTAGCAGCTGTAACCACAGTGACTCTGATAAAACAGGAATTAGCAGAATCCATCTGATATGAAGCTGTGCTTTGAATACCACTTCCCTCCTCTTTGAAGAGTAGTCAGATATCTGTGTTCAGGTTTTTGTACAGCCTCTTCTACACTTTGTATCACTGTGTTTCTAGAGCACAGTAGTAGAGAGCTGTGTCTGCCAGGGTTAGGGCTGCTATGGTCAGATTAGTTGATGTATGGGATGTTTGAGGATATATCGTTTATCAGGAATATATTCACTATGTCCTGCTTTCCTCTCTTTCCAGAGTATAAACTGAGGAGCCTGAAGGTCAGAATCATGTCTGTACCAATAAAGCCAAGGATAACTAAACTTGTCTCATAGCTACATGTGAGTGTGACAGATTCTCCTTCTGTTTCAGTGACTTCAGGTTGTTGAGGAGTGATTGAGTCTCCAGCTGTTAGTCCTGGAAAAAGAAAGAAGAAAAGTAGTGAAATGCAGTCTGTATATCTGCTTAATGCAGCAGCTTCAACTAAACTTTAATCCCTGTTCTTAAACTCACCTATAATGTGAGATAGAAGCAAAAAGAGGTGCATGTCTTTGGGTATAGCCAGCACCCTGAACAATTTTCACTGCAAATGCCAAAATATGCTATGAGCTTGTGGCGGCCATTAAGCTAGCCAAAGTTGCCACAGCAGCTTTCTCTATTTAGTCATCTTGTTTGTCAAGTCCATGCAAGATAGGTTTACGTGTCTCCTAGGAGTGTGGAGATTCTGTGCTCTCCAGGTTTTGTCTTTTGCTCCGACTGGGCTGCAACACGTAGTAAGCATCATGATTCTGGTCTAGGGATGACTTGCTGACCATTGATCTGTCACCTTCCCAAACTTAAGCACAGGATAATGCTGTTTCACTTTACAAGAATAATGAACGCGTAAGGAGCAAGTTACTGGCCTCCTGCAGAAGTTCTTTCCTTTGCTGCCACTTGTCTTGGCTATTTAAAACAACAACGATCATTCTAAAGAACCGTCAATGTTGATATCAAAGAAACAGAGTTGTGTTCATACCGAGGCACATAGCAGCCAGCAGCACTGAGATGAACAGAGGCGTCATATCTGCAGTGTAGAGTAACTGTGAGCTACAGCAAGTATAAAGAAGCTGTGATCTCTCTGTTTAGTCTTCATCAACACTAAGTTGGTGGATTAGAAGGAGGAGCCTGATCACAGTGACAGGACTCATTCACAGCCCTGTGTTATTCCCCCTGCTGACAGCTTCACACTCAGCACGTCTTTCTGCTGCTTTCAGTGGATATTTGCTCCTATTGCAGGAAGCAGGTTTAACAGACTGAACTGTGAGTCGAGGAAGAAAGAAATCATCAATGGAGCTCTGATACAGGCTTTACCATGACAACAGGTAAACAAAGAGCAGAGCGTCCTGTAACAATGGCTGGTTATAAACAAGTGCTCTTTAATTAATGCAGCACATAACCTTAAGTGTAAAGGTAGCAGGGTGTTACATGTTTTCCAGTTCACCATCTTAACTCTGTTTTCTAACTCTGTATTTTCAACAGCACTTTTTCATGACAACACCCACTAATGGTGCAATATTGTATAACACAACAGCTCCTCCCTCTTTATGAAAGAGACTTCATCGTAAAAAATTATCACCAACTAGCGCAGCATCAAGATGAAGTAATTCAACATTTAGCAAATCAACAATACGCTTGTAAACTTAAATTGTAGTAACAGCTGTAACATCAGAATACTACAACTAGCAAAGCTAAGTAAACCTGAAATTATGTTGCACTACTATGTAAAATGAAAAAAGAAATTATTATTCCACTTATTTCCATTTCATTTTTTTAGTTCCTAGTGCACTGGCAGCAGTAAATCAGTTCTGTTAAACTAAAATAGAACAATTAATAACATTTCTCTAATTTCCTTTTATCAAGAAAAACCATTATGATACAATATAGTCTTTGTGCCAGCGAGGCTTGTACTTGACGCGTGGCAGTCTTCTGGCAGTAGGTGAGCCAGTGTGGTGCAGCCTCGCGGCGTCAGCGTTCTTTTCAGTCTCTGGGCGACAGCGTGCTCGATGAGTGGCGTCCCAAATCTTTCCATCACTCAGCAAGAAGGCCTTTGAGCCTTTGTTACTGTTACAGGAGTAAATCTGGGATGTCCTTTGGCAACTTTGTGTGATTTCCTTATCCTCACACTCTCTCCTGGTAGAAAAGAAGGTTTCCGTGCGTGGCGCCTACCATCAGTGTAACGTTGCATTTTCAACTGACGTCTCTGAACTGAGTGATGCATATTAAAATAAAAACATAGTAAAAGCACAAGCCATAAAAAATATGTATAAGGAAAAATAGAGTCTAACGGTGTGTTCACACCGAACGCGATAGAGGCAGG